GTAAGTATTATTGAAGTAGAAGTTAGAAGAATATTAGTAAGAACTTAAGGAAGACCTTCTTAAGCAAAACAGGACTCTCAGAAGCCATCTAGCAAATGACCAACATATAAGATTATAGTAATTACTATAGTAACGATTTTCTTTTTCACCCAAATACCTGTAGCAACTGAAAGCAATGATGTTTGTTAGATAAACTGCAGATGCCTCCAAAAGAAAAATGATTGAATAAGTAGTTAACAACTATTAATCTATAAGAAAAGCTAAATAATCGAATTGAAAACTGGGCAGAAAGATATGAACAATCAAGTAACAGAAAAAGAAATACAAGTGCTCAATAAACATGTGAGAAAAATTACCTTTAGATTTGAGGGAAATGAGAACTAAAACAGAATGAATTACTTTTGCTTATCCTTGGCAAAGATTCAGAAAATGACACTGCGCAGTGTTGGGAAGGATAGAGACCACTATGCTTGGTTATGCACGGGTGCTAAGAGGACAAATTGCTGCATACCCTTGACAGGGCAATTCAGGTCTGCAACATTGGTGCTGGTATTCACATTCACTGCAAAGGTGGTGTTGGTGGTAATCATGTAATTCCAAGAAATTAGGCCCAGGCTACACATAACTGTAAAAGAAGTGGTGGTACTATTTACACAATTCTGTGACTATATGTTAGTGATGGTAACCACATCACTCTTCAATGTCCATTGTGATATTTACATAAATCTGCAACCTCCATTGTGATCTTAACCCTATGACAGAGGAACAGGGCATCGTCCCGAAAATCTGTGGTGCTGATTATGGTCATATTTACAAAACTCTGCAATGCTGGTTGTTATTCACGTGATAGCGGTGACAGTGGCATTCCCATGATTCTGTGCCAGTGGTTGTGGTATAAACAGCACTCTGTCATGGTGTCGGTGGTACTTACGGAACTGCAGTATTGTCATGGTATCCACATAATTCTGCCATGTTGTTCATGGTATTCATTTCACCTTGTGACGTTGATGGAGTTATTCTCGTAATTCTGTGATGTTGGTGGTGGTATTTACATAACACAGTGATACTGTTCATGGTATTCACATAACTGTGACATGGAAGATCACAGTGTTCATGTAACTCTGAGTGTTGGTATTGACATAGTTTTGCATCATTGTTTATGGTGTTTGCATAACTGTGATGCCAGTTGTTGTTTTCATGTCATGCTGTATTGTTGGTGTTGATGATATTCATGTATTTCTGTAGCTTTGATTGTGGTATCCACACAAATCTGTGACATTAGCCAAGGTATCCATAAACTCTGTGGTGCTGGTGGTGGTTGTATTCACGTAACTCTGTGATAGTGTGGTGTTCTATCCACATCACTCTGTGATGTTGGTTGTATTCATATAACACTATGGCGGTGGTCACAGATTGCAAAGTTTCTATTGGTGTTTACATAACTCTGGAACATTTGTTGTGGTGTTGACATAATTGTACAGCACTGTAGTAATGTTAGTCTCATAACATGGTGATGTTGTTTGGTGATGTTATGTAATTCTCCACTTGTGGTTGTGGTATTCACATGATTGCAATATTGGAATTCGTGGTGGGGTTCACATAACTGCGAAATTTGTCAGAATAGTCCCATACTGCAAGCTTCATCACAGTATCACATAATTTTGCAACATTGATGGTGGTACACACATAACTGTGCTATGGTTCTGCTGCTGATAGTCACATAACTGTGACATTGGTTTTAGTACTTGCCTAACACTGTGACATTGGTGCTGGTGGTATTTACATGTTTCTACAATGTTTACGGTGCTATTCACATAACTGTGATATTGATCATTACATTTACATAATTCTGTGATGATGGTGGTGGTTGTGTTACTCTAAGTGCAAGATTGGTGGCTGTCTGCAGGTAAATCTGTGACATTGTCATTCTGTTCATGTGACACTGCAGTGTTGTTGCTGACGGTCATATAAATCAATGACATTACTCATGGTGTTCACATAATCTTTTGAATGTGATCCTGGTATTTGCGTGACTCTGCAATGTTGGTGGTAGTAGGATTGACATGCACTGTGCAGTTCGTCATGATGTGCATGCAACTCTAAGATGATTGTCATGGTATTCACAGAACTGAGATTCATCATGGTGTTAACATAATTGTGCATTGGTACTGCTGGTGGTATTCAAATGGCACTCTGACATTGCTGATGGTGGTATTTGTATACATCTCTATGGGTGGCAGTGGTATTCACGTGAACCCATGACATTTGCCATGATAGTCACACAATTTTGCAGCTTTGGCTGTTGTGGTATTCATAATGTCTCTGACAGTGAATGTGGTGTTCACATAACTCCCTTGCCAGTTATGGGATTCACATAATTTTGCATCATTATTGTTGGTGGTATTTACATAGCTCTGTGGTGTTAGTCATGGTAGTATTCACAATATTCTTTGATATTGGTCATGGTCATATATGGGTAACTGCAAAATTGGCTGTGTTATTCTAATAAATCTGTAAGTTATTAATGGTGGCATTGACATGACTCTGCAATGACAGAGAAGGCAGTACTTATCTAACTCTGAGATGTTGGTCATGTTATTCATATATTCCATGAAGTTGATGCAGGTGGTACTCTACTCTGGTAGTCACGATATTCATATAACGGTGATGGTGGTTGTGGTATTCAGATAACCCTGCAACTTGGTCGTGTTATTCACATAACCCTGTGATGGTAGTGTTGGTGATATTCCCATAACTGTATCATTGGTTGCCTATTCGCATAGCTCTGTCATGTTGAACGTGGTATTCACTTCATGTTGTGACATCAGTAGTAGTGGTATTCACCTAACTTTATGATATCATAGTGGTGGGGATTATATTCACATAACTGCATTGCTCCTGCTGGTAGTATTCTTATAAACATGTAATGCTGGATGAGGTTACAGGTCATCACTGTGCAACAATGGTGGTGGCACTCATATAACTGCAACATTGGTCATAGTTTTTACTTAACTTTGTGATAATGGATGGAGTATTTGCATAATGCTGTGACTCTAGTCATGTTATTTATATAAATATACTCATCCCCTCGCACCCACGGAGTGGTTTCAGTACCCTCTAGGATACCACAATTAATAGATGCTCAGATTCCTTATATAATATGGTATAGTATTTATATGTAGCCTATGTATATGCTCCTATATACTTTGAATTCTCTCTAGATTATTTATGATACCTAATATAAATAGTTGTTATACCGAATTGTTTATTTGCATTACTTTGATCAGTTTAACTATTTTTAATCCACAGTTTGTTGAATCTGTGAATGGGGCACATGCACACATGTAGACTGACTGTATACATCCAAGGTGGGGCAGGTATTTATAGAACTCTGTAATGGTAGTGGTAGTGTTAACATAACTCTGAATTGTTCACATTTTTCACATAACTCTATGGCATTGTTGTGATATTTATATAATTCCATAGTGATTGTGGTGGTATTCATGTAACTCTACCACATTTTTTTTTGTGGATTTTCACAATTCTCATAAATCTGGGACAGCATGGTGGTGGTGGTATTTCCATAATTCTGAACACTGGTGTTCAGGGTATTCACATAACTCTGTTTGAGTTGTGGTATTCATATAACTTTGTGACATAGGTCATGGTTTTCATGTAACTCTGCAATGGTGGCTGTGGTATTTGGGTAATTCTGTGGCTTTGTTGCTGGTATTCACATACCCCTGTGACACTGGTCCTATAATTCACAAGAACCTGTGATGTTGGTTGTCATAATCACATAACTCTGCAATGTTGATGGTAGCCTAATTAATATTTCTCTGTGACATTGGTCATGGAACTCACATAATGATGGTGGTGCTATTCAAATGTCTGTCTTGGTAGTGGTATTCTCTTAATACTGCCAGAGTAGTTGAGGTATTCAAGTAATTCCATGATGATGGTTGTAGTGGTAGTCACATAACTCTGATGGTGTTAGGTGTGGTAATCCCATGAGTCTGCAAAGTTTGTTGTGGTCTTCACATATTTTGGTCACAATGGTGATATTGGTGCTGGTGCAATGGTGAGAATAATAATGACATTTATGGGTGTAGAGACAGGCTCAGGAAAATTTAAAGTTTATAAGAAGATATGACAAAGCCAGCCTCCAATTTATATTTTCTAAATAATTCAAATGCATATTTTTCTGTACCATACCATGAGATCTCTTCCTGCTAAATCTAAGGCATTTATCTAAAAAATTTATATCTTCAAACTCCCCAAAGGCTTTGGAACATAAAAATTGTATCTAGTTATTTATCCATAACTTTGGTTATGTCCGTATACTTACACATACACATTTTCATGTGTGAAACTGATCAAAATTTAGCTATAAATTTAGATGTATAAAACTGAGCTTCTAAAGTTTTATAATCATGCAGAAGAGGACCTTCTGGTAAACCAAAGTTAATCACCTTTGAGGGTAATCTATATAGTTCATAGAACCCAAAATATGTTTATTAGACAATGACATTTGATGTTGATGAAAATGTTGGCCATGTTATGTTTTCATTGTTTCTCTAAAAATTATAAACCTGTAGAAGCCTCATAAAAGACTAGAAATACAATGTTGAAGTCTGGGTGGTGGTTTCATGGCAAATATATGCTTAAACAATCATTGAATTAAACATTTAATATGCTTGCATTTCACAGTATATAAGTTATACCTCAACGAAAGCTTTAAAAAGTGTACATCCAAGTAAGATGAAAATATGAATAGGTTTCAGAAAAGTCCAGTATAGTGCCAATCTAACCACTCATGATATTTTCTGTGGCTGTGAGTTATTGCTTTTATAGAAACAAAACAAACCTCACCATAGAATTTAAAGTTAAAGTGTGATTTAAGAAATGTGTATGGCTCCCAAAAATGTCCTTGTATAGTTAGGAGTTGTCTCTTTATCTCAGTTCTTAGGGCTCACTATTTACATTTTTTCCTCTTGCAGTACCTGGGGTGCATTGAAGTTCTGCGCTCAATGAGGTCTCTTGACTTCAGTACAAGAACACAAATTACCAGGTAAGCCCGCTTGAAAATGGACTTCTGTGATTTTACCTCAGAAGGAAATATCTCAGAGGTTAACAGCTCAGACATTTTTAGAAGTAAAGACTGACCCTTGGAGAGTTGGTGGCTAGTGACAGTGACTCAGGACTATCCTTGTCTCAAGACATGTGGTTGTTCATCCATGTTTGCGATGTGTCTCTCTCAGCCAAAGTACCTTGAAGGACATTTTGCCCTTGCACACTCTTTTTATAATTTAGCTGCAGACATATGGAGCAGCTGAGTATTTATGTTTGTTTCTTTAACGTGTGAAACTCGAACACAAGATTGGTATTTAAAAATGTACTGAGCCATGTTCTTTTTAAAAAAGAAAATCAAGATGTCAAGGGAGACTTTCCAATAGTATACACAGAGGGTAAAATGAATAGAATTGGAAGTAGAAACAGCCATAGGAGTAGGTCATTCAGCAAGCAGACCCATTCTTTAAGGTGTCTGTGACTTTGAACAGGTTTTATGTATTCTCCACCACCAAGTAGAATTGAAGCTTCTTGAGGGCCAGTATTTAAGCACTGTTTTTTAAAAAATAAGATGTTATGCTCTAGTATAGCTCCTAGTAGAGCTTACATCTTTCAAAAAATGCCAGTTTCAAGCCAGCTTGAAGAGGAGAACTGGACAGCTAGGACAGAGTCTGTGAAACTGCTACATTTCTGTGGTCAGGAGCTTAGGTTGCTTTGGCACTTATGCAGTCACTTAATTTAAAGAGTAACCTCAGAAAAATACCTCATATTTACTTTATTCAAATCATTCTGTTGTATATATTTGGATTAGCAAGCCAAGTGTAAAGATTTAGAAAGCAATTGGTTGTAGTCATTAGATGCTAAGAAACATACACACCTCAATTCTTTTCTAAGGACCATAATAATACCTCTTCTTCCTCACTGAAGATATTCATAGTTAAATAGTTAATGTTTTTTTTCTCTTTCCTAAGTGCCTTGAAACACAGATTGTGAATGTATCAGTAATCTACATGAAGGAAGGAATCCACTTCCACATATTTGTAGAAAATGGTTTATGAAAATTTCAAAGATGACGGAATGGTATTTTGAATAGAGGAGTACTGTGGTTAAAAGAAAAAGCTTGAGTGTTTGCTTAGCCATTTATTCACCTTACTCATGAAAAGGTATGCCAGTGGCATCATCATGGGCAGAGCACTGAGCCAGTGCCTGGAGGAATATGGAAACTGTGTGACATTGGTCATGTTCTCCCGTGTGGTGATTGTTTTTAAAGAAATTACAGTCAATTGGGATAAAACTGTCAACCATTCCTACTGGGTTCCCTTTCCAGATGCTAGGATTTCTGAGGTGATTTCATGCCATTTTAGCTCTCCTGATGTAATCTTAAGCATGTATTGCTGATTGTGCACATACAACGTGCTGGACAACATGGCTATCCTGCTTTGCTAGGCCTCTCAGTGTTGGAGAAAGGTGTGTACACAAATGATTGAGGGGCATCTGAGGGGCACAGAACAAGTTCTACTCCTTGGAGTAGTGGTGGGGTGGGAGAACAAGTGAATAATTCCAATTTTCTCTTTGATGAGGATACAACTCCTGGGACTCTCTGGGATAGAACTCTCTGGGTAATAACATTGTAGAAGAAAGCAGTTGTAATAGGCATTGATGGATTTGGAGGTTTTGATGTCTTTCTTCAATCCCATTCCATTTAGATTTTTGGGAAGGTGACACAGCATAATGTGGCAAGTGGAGCATGATTCTCGTACTTAAGAAACTTGGTGTTGAATTCTGTTTGTGCCAGAATTGCCTTGGGTTTTATTAGACTTCTTGAGAGCTACATTTGCTTGTCTCCATGATGCTTTCTGTCTCTTCCATCATTTTTAGCATGTGACATGTTTCTTACTTTAGCTAATAGATGGAGGTCACTCAAAGGAAACAGATTGACAAATCAAGTTCAGAATGAAGGCCTTTGCATCCAGTTGAAGAATATACAGCAATGTCTTGTAGATGTAGCACACTGTGGAGCTTTTAAGGTCTCTGTGGTAACTAAGTGTTAAACATACCTGTGATTAAACTCCATCGCCATGGATTACTTTATATACTAAAGAGATTCTTGGAAGGTTATAGGGAAGTCTAATGTTCTAATTAAGTTATATTATATAGGCACCAGGAAAATTGGTTTCCAAAGACATTCCAGTTACACCTTTTATTAAAAAAAATTTTTATAAGGAGATAATACCTACTTCTCTGTTCAATTAAAAATTTTGCCCTACAGCAGAGCTTCACTCCCAGCATTTCACTTTGTATATACAAATGTGAGGACTCCACTTCAGAATTGAGGTGTTTTGAAAACTACCCAGGAATATGCATAAAATCTTCTTAGTTGGAAACATATGAAAGGAAAATATCTTTCTTTTTGGAAAGGTATTTCCTTTTTTGTTCTTTTTCAGTGTATTGGCTGGTTTCTGAGGAGACATGTATCACTGATGTCAGTGTCTATGTATTGTAGTTCATTCAGAGTGTGGCCGGCTATATAAACAACAAGGCATAGGTATAAATGAAGGAACATGTGGATCAGCCATCAGAGCATGAATGGACTGAATGCTATGAAATTGCATACTTTTCTGTTAGGTATAATCATGGGAGAGACTTTGCTTAGAAGTTAGCTGAGTGACCATGTGATCTTGATCTAAAAGTGTTAGCATTCAGTAGGGCTTTGAGTCTCCACAAACGAGCAAACAAGCCCTGGTGAGATGAAGAAGGGAACAGGAGCCTGGAGATGTCTGAATTGTGGATGTTGGTGAGAATCACAACCTGGCAGGTATGGGGGTGGTCTCCTTGCCAGCCCTCTCCATGGTGGGTTTCATCTTCAGCTTGAAGAAGAGCAGGCCAGACAAGACCTCAGCACAGCTTTGCAACTCTGTTCACCCTCTCTTCTCTTCTAAGAGTTCACTTGGAAGACTTAGCACAACTCAACTCTTGGGTCACTTCCAGCTTCCAACATTCTATAAACGCTCTCAGAAAACAAAAGTCCAAGGTAAAAACTTTCACCTCACAATCTTTCCATTTCATCATGTCTCTGAGCATCCTTACCCATGTGCATTCCATCCCAACTCTATGTATGTATTATGTGCATGAGCCTGGGTGTGCACCCTCATTGGACTTCCTGCAATGGGGAAGCCAACCAGACTACATGCTGGGCACCATGACCCGAGGGAAGGACCTCCTTCACCCATGCATCCACTGTGACCTCTCTACCTTTCTCTTGATACATTTCTGTGTTATATGGATGTTTAGTCACAAGTTCATTTGGGGATGGAAACAATGCATATTGTGCAGTTTTAAGACAGGCTGCCTTTACTAACAAGATATTTGTGTTGTTTGTAGAGAATTTCCTATCTTCAGGACTTGGCTGAGGCTGGGAGAAGCTGTGTGGAGTGGAAAACGGACACTGAGGAAGAATGGCAGGTAAGGTCAGGCCTCCTTGGAACCTCAGAGAATATCAGAAGTTGAGGAATGCTTTGAAGGTTCCATTATACCTGCCAAGCTGAATGAAGTGTATTCCCATACGCAGGGCAGTGGGATCTGAATGTTTTTGTTCAGATTTTGTGGTAATAATTTCTTCTTTGAGAGTGGGTAGCATGAACTCTACTAAGTGGGCATGAATTGGCTGCAGCAGTCCTATGTTAATGAAGGTCATTCTGTTAGTGTTAGGGTGACTTTCTCATTTTTGCAAACACTGGGATGTAACTCTGAAGAGTCCCATATTTGGAAATCCATTATAGAAACCAAGATATTTTTATACCTGGTGCAGGGTATAGAAAACAAAGTGGACTTTTGCTCATGGGCTTCCTTAGATCTAGTAAAAAATCTTACCTATAGATTAGATCTTTACAATTTGACTTCAGTCACGCATCAGGAATATAAGCATTTTTTGTTTTTTTTTTTTTGAGATAGGGTTTTACTCCTGTTGTCCAGCCTGGAATGCAATGATGCGATGTCAGCTCACTGCAATCTCTGCCTCCCAGGCTCAAGTGATCCTCCCACCTCAGCCTCCTAAGTAGCTGGGACTACAGGTGCATGCCACTATGCCCAGCTAATTTTTGTATTTTTTTTTGTAGCGGTAGGGTTTTGCCATGTTGCCCAGGCTGGTCTCCAACTCTTAGGTTCAAACAATCCATTTGGCTTGGCTTCTCAATGTGCTGGGATTATAGGCATGAGCCACTGTGCCTAGCCACCGTGTCTAGCCACTGTGCCTGGCCAGGGATAGGTTCTGAGAGATGAGTCATTAGGCAATTTTGCCATTGTCCCAACATTGTAGAGTGCACTTAGGCTAGATGATCTAACCTGCTACACACCTAGGTTACATGGCATAGCCTGTTGCTCCTAGGCTACAAACCTGCACATCATGTGACTGCTGAAATCTGTAGGCAATTGAAACACAGTGGTAAGTATTTGTGTATCTGTCATATCTAAGCATAGAAAAGGTATAGTAAAAATACACTATTATAATTTTATGGGACCACCTAGATATAGTCGGCTCATCATTGACTGAAATGTTTAGGTGGTACCTGTACTTGATTATAATATTTCTGAATTCCTTTTTCTCTGCAAAATAAACACTTTCAATACTGCTTTAAGTTAAATGTGCCAGGGAGAGGGAAAGGAGTAAATCTATTTTTATAGATTCTCTGAGGCTGGTTGAATCTCAGAATTAGAACAGAAAGCAGTGGTGTGAATTACCCATCACCCCACTCCATCCCAGCCCCAATCCCTGTACATTTGGGTGGTGCACAATGGCTAGCTTTTGGATTTTAGCCTTACAGGCTCTTTCTAAATGTGCTTATTCTAAACACGTTTTGTGGCCAAGCCTCTCTCAGCCTGCACTTGCAGAGGGGTGAGGCCTGGCAGGAAGGGGTTGGTGCTGTCTTGGTTTAGAGCACTTTTTGAAAACACCAGCTTGCCTGTGTGTGCGTGCATCCGGCCTTTGGAATAAAGCAAGCTGGATACCTCCACTTCACTTCTGCACTGTTACTCTGGTTTTAACGCTAGCTAGGATAATATTGTATCCTCGTATCTCCTTCATGGACATTTGTGTGCAAAAATGCATTAGACACAGGAGTGCAGATATTATGAGTCCTCAGGGACCACAACCCAGGAAAGAAGCCCAGAGTCACAGGACGAAGGGCCACGTACTCACCATAGGCATGGGATACTACCCCAGAAACATGGAAGAGGATCCCTGTAGGCCAGGGAGACTTGCCAGAGAAGGGAGGGAGCATTTAAGCTAGAGTGAATTTCTCCCCCAACAATATGGCAGCTGTAGGACTGAAGCAATTGCTTTGACTTGGGCTGACTTCTCCAGCCAGCTCATCAGGGTGACTGGAATGTAGGTGGTCACTCCTGACAGTTTCTTAGCTGGTCCAACTGTGCAGCAGTTCTAATGCTTGCCAAAGAGTAGGCACCTGAGTTGGGCTCAGTGAAGGACCATGGAGACAGTCTGCACCCATCAAGCTCCAGCCTTCCTGCTATTAAAACACCAGCAGAGCCCTGGGACAGAGGGACTGGGACTCTGCTTCCTCCAGGCCTCATTCTGTTCTGTTTTCATGTTCAGTTCCTCAACCATAATGGATCTAGTAGGTTTGTTTTCATTGCGTGGTTAAACAGACATCACTACGGAAATGTCTGATCCAGCTGTGGTGCAGGGAAGGGACCCACGAGCTGTTTTCTTGGTTAGACTGTAAGTGTCTTAAGTTGCATTCCCCCAGCACCTCCTGAGATTTGGTGCGAGGAGACTATTTGGGAGGACACCTAGGAAGCAGTGGCGGGGGTGGGCACAGCCAGTAGGAAGGGAGACCTGTCCCTGGGACCATTTGGAGCAGGGTCCTGCTGTGGGCGCTGGGCCCTTTGAGGAATTGTGTGAGAACTTGGGAAGCTGGGATGTCTGCTCACTGACTGCCTCCCCTCACTATTGAAGGACAGTTCCCTGCTCCTCCAGAATGCCTGTGTGGGCTGAGAAAGCTGGAGAAGTCACCACTGGCGCAGCAGAGACCAGGTGCAGGCACTCCAGGGAGCATGGCAGCATTTACAGGAGTGTCCACGCAGCTCAGAGTATCAGGACCTGCCAAGCGACAGCACTGAGGACTTGGCTCCCATGTCTGCCTCTCTAAACTAGAATTTTCAGTTGAGGTGCCTTTAAAGAGCTACCTGGTTCAGTCTTTGGACAGCAGACTCCTGATTCCTTGGAGCAGAGCCTGTTGATGTAGGGTGAGCTTCCTACTCTAGTGGATGAGGAAAGGGTTCCTGGGTACCAGCCCACACTACCACTCAGCAGAGACACTCATTCCACCAATGAGATTGACCTCTCTAAGGCTGCGGTCCTCATCCAGAGAATAGAGATAACACCCTCACTTCGAGGCTTGTTGAGAGACATAGAAATGAGACCTGAGCATGCTGGGGCTGTACCTGACACATAGCAGATGTTCAGTGAATCTGCATGGGGTTGTTACCACAAATCTCCTTTTGCTACTCACTCCTGATAAAATGCTGTGTATAATAACATCAATTGCTGGTTGGTATTGTTATTATTATTAACCAATTCAATCCAGGTGTTTTTTTCTAACTGAAGAGAAAGATTGGTTTGATGCAACAAACTGAACTTATTGAAAATTTATGGTGATGTGGCATTAATTTTCCCTTGAGCTGATGTTGTCTAGTATTTCATTCTGTGTTCCTGTTTCACTAATTCTAATGACTAGGATGAGGATGATGCTAGAATTGAATACTTACCCTGCTCCAAACTCTGTGCTAAGATGTCATTTGTACATTCAACAAATATTTTTTGAGCACGTACCATTTCCAGTCACTGTTTAGATATTGAAGATAAAGCACCAAGTAAGTGCTTACCTTCTATTGTGGGGAGAAGGAAATATGCAAACATATACATAAGTAGGATATTAAGGGGAACCATGTGAACATGCCATTTTTATAGATGAAATGATCCAATATCAGTAATTTTATATAGTTCAGCACAGTAATTTCAGATAGCGATGAGGTGTGTGTGGTCTTTTCTCAGTAATCTTGGGAGGCAGATTGTGTGTATTTTGGGGATGAGGATACAGGATCAGAAAGTTGATCCAAATTGTTTAAGACTAGATTGTTTTCCTAGCTAGGAAAAGGCAAAGTCAAGATTTGAGCTAGAACAGTCTGAAGCCAGAGACTACAGTCAGGAGTAGCCATTATACTGCTGCTTGAGTGAGGGGGGTTACATCCTTCAGAAAGGCAGAAGGACTCGCAAACCCCACAAGTACGCAGTGCAGAGGGCATCATTTGGAGGATGAAAATCACCTGCTAATTACAAGACCATCAAGATGCATTTGCTGACCACCATGGTGTGATGGTCTCGAGCAGGGTGCAAAGAAAATGAGTATACATGTAGAGTCTGTGCGAGGTGCTTGCAGTTGGCTGGGAAGCAGTGGGCAGTGCATGTAAAGAGAAGGGTCAGCTGTGGGGTGAGCATGGCCTCTGCACTGCCCACATTCACCTGACTGCGCTCATCCCGGGCATGGCGATGTCCATCCCTTCTGTGCTTCAGAAACTCGTAGTTGAATTTCCCCAAAGAATAAAAGGATACATAACAACACAGAAGTCTTTAAAAATGTAATAGGAATAATTTATAGAAAAGATAAGGTCCTCACTACCTCAGATAGAAAATGAAGGGTGGGATGGGGTGGGGAGAGGATGGGCTTGGTGTGGGGATGGAGTGGGCAACCCCTGAGGTGGTCCTGCTACCTAGCTCGAGGCGGTGACAGCACAGTACAGAAGATCTCTGGATCACAGCAGAGGGGAGCACTTCTCACCTAATGTGGGCTCCCCTGCAGCACAAATTCCTTTAAGAATACATCAGGTTGGTTGCAGAGGGGTCATGGGGCTGGTCTGTGTTCTGTGGGCACTCTGACTTGGGACGGGGCCCTCAAGGATTTGCTATACATACTTAAATCATTTCATTTGCTAGAATAGTGGTTCTCAGACTGGAGCATAAATACATCAATGTCACCTGCACAGTTAGTTAGAACACATATTGCTGAGCCAACCCCACAGAGTTTTGTGATTCAGTAGGTCAGAGGTGGAGTGTGAGAAGGTGAACTTCCAACAAGCACACATATTGCTGAGCCAACCCCACAGAGTTTTGTGATTCAGTAGGTCAGAGGTGGAGTGTGAGAAGGTGAACTGCCAACAAGCTTTCAGGGGTTGCTGATGCTGCTGGTCCAGGTAACCCACTTTGAGAACCAGGATTTTAGAGTTCTGTTTTTAACTTCAGAACCATTTGCGACTACCGGCTATGAAACCACAGCTTTGAAAACGAGTCTGTTTATTTTTTTTTTCAATTGATCCCACTCATCCAGAAATTTTAAAAATGGAGAACATAGATGACTTGGTGACTGAGCATGGTTTAAATAGAATCCATA